GGGGATTCTGTTGGTGTACCGCGCACCCTTCTGCCCAACAGTCTCCCTGCCTGAGCTGACGGAGACTGTCTCGGACCTGGTGTTGAGGACCCCCAGGATGTTGGTCCTGGGGGACTTCAATCTCCATGCCGAGGCCAGTCTGACCGGGGCGGCTCAGGACTTCATGGCCTCCATGACGGCCATGGGGCTGTCTCAACATGTCACCGGCCCCACCCATGAACGGGGACACACTCTGGACCTGGTTTTCTCGACGGGGCAGGAAGAGGGTGGTCTGAGGGTGAGTAATTTATGCTTGACTCCCCTGTCATGGTCAGATCACTTCCTGGTGAGGTTTATGCTCGAGAGCGACTTCTCCCTCTGTAAGGGTGCGGACCCGATTATGTGGGTCCGCCCCCGGAGCCGGATGGATCCAGAAGGATTCCTGAAGGCCCTGGGGGAGTTTCCGGCTGACAAGACGGGTGCTCCTGTCGAGGCTCTGGTCGAACTGTGGAATGGGGAGATGACCAGGGCTGTAGACACGATCGCTCCTAAGCGTCCTCTCCCACCGGGCAGAGCCCGCTCTTCCCCTTGGTATACTCCTGAATTGAGGGCGATGAAGCAGGTTGGGAGACGACTAGAGCGTAGGTGGAGGAAATCACGAGATGAATCTGACCGAACACACTTAAGAGCCCACTATCGGGCCTATGCTGTGGCGGTGAGGGCGGCAAAAAAGAGATTCTTTTCCGCTTCCATTGCCTCCTCACAATGCCGTCCGGCGGAGCTCTTTCGAGTGGTGCAAGGCCTGGTCCGTCCAGGTCCAAAGGAAGACCTGATTCCACCCTCAAAGACCCGCTGTGACGACTTTGCCAGGCATTTCAGGGAGAAAATCGCTCAGATTCGTCACGAGCTGGACACCACTATTGATTCAGAGGTTTCAAAGGAGACACCAATGCTGCCGTCTGGTCCAGATTTATTGGATGAATTTCAGTTATTGCGGCCCGATGATGTGGACAAGGTGCTTGGGCGAGTACGTCCAACCACTTGCCTTTTGGACCCTTGCCCGTCTTGGTTAATAAATGATTCCAAGCACGGGATTGGAACCTGGATCTTGGAAGTGGTTAACGCTTCTCTGAGGGAGGGTCGGGTGCCGGCCCCTTTGAAGGAGGCGGTAGTCCGACCGGTCCTGAAGAAGGCGTCACTGGATCCAGAGATGGCCACTAATTATAGACCAGTGGCCAACATCCCGTTTCTGGGCAAGGTGTTAGAACGAGTGGTGGCGGGACAACTCCAAGCACTCTTGGATGAAACTGATTATCTGGACCCATTGCAGTCCGGCTTCAGACCCGGGTACGGTACTGAATCTGCCTTGGTCGCCCTGTATGATGACCTGTGCAGGGAGAAGGACAGGGGGAGTGCGTCCCTGTTGGTTCTGCTGGACCTCTCAGCAGCTTTCGATACCATCGACCATGGTATCCTTCTGGATAGGCTTGCGGGATTGGGGGTTGGAGGCACTGCTTTGCAGTGGTTCCGCTCCTATCTCAATGGCCGGTTCCAGAAGGTGGTGCTGGGGGACTATGGCTCTGCGCCATGGCAGCTATGCCATGGAGTACCGCAGGGGTCCATTTTGTCCCCTTTGCTGTTCAACATATACATGAAACCGCTGGGAGAGGTCATCAGGAGGTGTGGGCTGCGGAACCATCAGTACGCTGATGATACCCAGCTCTACCTCTCGTTTTCCACCAATCCAGGTGAGGCAGTGGCTGTGCTGAACCGGTGCCTGGCCGAGGTAATGGGCTGGATGAGGGCCAATAAACTGAAGCTCAATCCAGACAAGACGGAGGTCCTGTTGGTTGGTGGATCGGGCTTCGGAGAGGGTGAATTGAACCTTGTCCTGAATGGGGTTGCACTCCCTCTTAGGGACAAGGTCCGCAGCTTGGGAGTGCTCCTCGACCCAGAGCTTTCACTGGAAGCTCAGGTAACAGCAGTGGCGAGGAGTGCTTTCCTCCAGCTTCGGCTAATTCATCAGCTGCGCCCCTATCTGGAGAATGACTGCCTTGCGACAGTGACACATGCGTTGGTGACTTCCCGTTTGGACTTCTGCAACGCGCTCTACGTGGGGCTACCCTTGAAGACGGTCCGGATACTTCAATTGGTCCAAAATAGAGCTGCCAGGCTGCTGACGGGGACTGGACGTTATGTTCACATGACTCCAGTTCTCCGTCAGCTTCACTGGCTTCCCATTGAAGTCCGGGCCCAATTCAAGGTGTTGGTTATGACCTATAAAGCCCTAAACGGCTTGGGTCCTGGTTACCTGAAGGAGCGCTTACATCCTTATATGCCCAGCCGCCCCCTGAGATCGGCGGGAGAGGCCCTTCTCCGGGAGCCCTCCATGGAAGAAGTTAGGAGGGTGGTTACTCGGAGGAGGGCTTTCTCAGCGGTGGCGCCTAAGTTATGGAATGCGCTCCCCAGAGAGGTCCGCCTGGCGCCGTCGTTATTTGTTTTTCGGCGCCAGGCGAAGACCTTTTTATTTAAGCAGTATTTTAAATGTTAATATTATTGAATTTTATTTGGCCAGGGCGGCTTGTTTTATAGTGTATATTTGCATTTTATTGTATATATTTTAAAATGTTATTTTAAATTTTTTGTTGTAAGCCGCCCCGAGGCTTCGGCGAATGGGGCGGCATAAAAATGTTTTAATAATAATAATAATAATAATAATAATAATAATAATAATAATAATATTGGTAGGTAATAAAAACAGTAGACGGGGGCGAGGGAACTTTTTAAAACTATCAAAGCCTTTGTTCCTTCTAGGTAACCTGTTGATATTGGACAGATCTAGAGCCTAAGTCAATACAGCATACCTCTTTCTGCAGCTCCCTTTCCCTGTGTTTTTCCTTCCTTCCCACCCACATGGAATTTAGGTAACGGCATGTGCAGTCTTGGTACTACAGGTTGCCCACCCTTGTCATGTGACTGTAGGTGGGGTAGATAGGGGATACAGAGGTGAGTTCACCAACATTGCACCCACAATGCCAGGTTGAGCCGACTGCCAAGCTATCCCCCACCCCACCCCGGTGAGTGAATGGAGTGATTTTGTCAAGAAGCAACCTGTTAAAAAATGGCAACAGGGTCCTTCACATGGAATGAGCTTCTCCCACAGTTCAGCTGATTTTTACAATGTGGGCTTCTGCACTTCCTATTTAATAGAATGATTTTTCTGTTACGTTCATTCATTCATTTCATTTCATACTATCCAATAGCCAAGGCTCTCTAGGCAGCTAACAAAAGTTAAAAATACACAAACAACAAAAAATTAACACTAAAAACCCCTACAGCAATTACAATTGAATCAATATAAAGGCAAATACATTGTTCAACAGTAAAGACGATCCCTTGTTTGGGGATCTATTATGTTGAAAACCCTCCCCGCCAACAGGGTAGAAGACCACCCTCACCACGGACTCTTGAGGCAGCAGGGGCTTTGCCATGGGATGCTTCTTTCCCACCCCAGCCAATTTTCAGGATGGCAGCTCTTACTTGCCCCATGCAATTAAAGAAAGGAATTACACTATAGGAAGGAAAGGGAAAGGAGAGACAGAAATGAGCCCAAGAAACAAAGCGAGTAAGAAGGGATCTCCCAGGCCATCTAGTCTGACCTCCAGCTCTGCTCATGACATGCGGAGAAGAAGAAATATGACGTGAGAGAAAGAAATTAGGAGCTAGGGGTAGACATGTCAGAATGAAAAGTACACATAGAAGGTGCATCTCTATGCACGCAGGTGACTGTGGCAAATGCTTCTCACATTTTTGACTGCCACACCTTACATCAGTCAATTTATGGTGAGACCCAGGTCATTTTTTCAAAATTCCAAGTGTGCCCACAGGAGCACAAACTTTGGGGACTCCTGAGGGGGTTTAAAAGAAATGGGAGAGATCCAGGTTCATACCTTCATCAGTCTTTGAAGATCCCTTGGGCTAGCCTAGCCAAACTCATAGTTGTTGTGAGGACCTAATTGGCAGGGGGGGGGGGGGGGATTGGAGAGACAGAGAACTACCATGTATACAGCCTTGATTTTCCTGGAAAAAACATGGAATATATCATAAGCTAGCTGATTAGCAGCTGGGTGCAGATGTTTTAAGCAGTCATTTCTGGATTTTTTTCAAGGTACAAGAAACCAAACTTATAGAAAACCTGAAGGTGTCAAAAGCAGCATCATTTTTGTTCTGCTATCATTTTAAACACTGTTTATTGTACAAGTTACATGCATTTCAGTTATACAACTTATGCATACTTAATTTGAGTTGAATAAGCTTAAGTGTTATACATTACTGCATTATTGACTTCTTAGAACAGGGGTGCTGAGCTTATTTCAGACTAAGCGCCAAATAAAATTTCAGAGAATCTCTTGGAGTACACAATTCAGTGGTGCACAGTTTGAAAGCAAAAAAAGTAAAACAACAAATCTAGAAACTCCTGTATATTTTTTCTTAAAGCTCTTCCTGCAAGTAATTCAGCCATACAAAAAGACATTCCAAACCTTTTAGAATAAGGGCAAATGAGCAAAAGTCAGGAAACCACAGAAGCCCTGGGATTTGGGGAAACAGGGCATGGCTTTCTGAGGAAATCCAGAGGACCATACATAAAGGGGTGGGGGCATATTTGGCTGTCTTAACAGTATATAGTTGGTCCTCCACATCCATGTGGGTTGGGGTGTAGGAACCCTGCAAAAGTGGAAAAACCACAAAAATCTCTAGCCCCACCCTCAAACTTTAATTTTTAATCCTATTGACCATGCACACACTGGATTGCTTCTATCTCCTTAGATCTTGCTCTGATTCAGCAGGGTTTCCCTTCTTCATTTATTACATTCTTATGTTCCATTTCCCTGCCCTCCCTTTCATTCACTAGTGCCTCCACTTTGGACCAAGGAAATGCCAGAGGGATTTTCCTCTCTGAAAAAGTGAAGCAAGAATGGATGCTTTGAGGATATCCCTCTCTCCACAATAAACCACAAAACTTAAAACAAACAAACAAAAAACACAACTTTATTACTGATGGGAAATTCACAAATAATCAAATACACAAAAGCCAAGGTTCAACTGTATAATCAAACGAAATGTCAAACCTATAATGTGTATAGTACTTTATACTTTCCCAAGAGTATACTGCAAAGCCACCAATTTTTTAAAATATATAGTTACCTCAACCAGCACACGTTCATACTCACAACTATTATACTTCAGTATAATTAGAGCTTTGATGTGGAGACAATTTTGAACAAGTTTAAAGTCAAAATGGCAATACTTTACAGATAAAATACAGGGTAATTCAAAGCTCATATACTAGAGGAAAGGTAGACAACCTGATGCCCACCAATTTTTTTTGGACTACAATTGTGCTTCAATTAGCACAAACAAAAGTCAGAGCTTCTGGGAGCTTTAGTCTAAATATCTGGGGAAATATATTGGTATAAGGTAAATTTCAGTACATACCCAAATTTCAGTACATACCCATGGAACCAGTGTGGTGTAGTGGTTAAGAGGATGGGACTAGGACTCGGACGATCTGGGTTCTAGTCCCTGCTCAACCATGGAGCCAACTGGGTGACTTTGGGCCAGTCAGACTCTCAGCCCAACCTACCTCACAGGGTTGTTGTTGTGGGGATAAGATGGAGGAGGAGATGTAAGCTGCCTTGAGCCCTTTGTAGGAAAAAAGGCAGGATATAAATCGAAAAATAAATAAATTGTAATTCAGAAGTTAGGACTCCAGTGTGCAAATTATCAATATACTGCAAAATGTGCTACACTACTGTTTCATATTATAGTCCAGGTAGCACGTTATGTAAAGAATTGTTTATTAATACAGGAACAAGCAGGAAGGAGCAATCATGAGGCTTAGGATTGTGGACTCCATTAGTTTCCTTTCTTCTCTTGCACAGCTAGGACAACCTGAGCAGCTTCCCCCTACTTATACTTTGTACATCTCAGCTTTGATTCCAGCTGTGAGCTTGCAATACTCTGATCAGTTTCCAAACAAACCAACTTCAAATCCATTTCCTAATCACATAGGAAGGCTAGAGCATTAGTACCCATGGCTCATGGCAGCTGCTTCCTGCTTGCATACATCTTACTAAACCACAACTTAGCATGCTATGTGAACTGGTCTAATACTTTTGTACTAGTAGTTAGTACCGTACTAACAAAGGCTTAATTGCACTGTATAGTAGATAATTATTATTATTATTATTATTATTATTATTATTATTATTATTATAACATTTCTATGCCGCCCCTTGCCGAAACCTCGGGGCGGCTTACAACATGATAAAATACATTGAAATACAATAGTACATAATTAGGCTTTTCTTGTCACGTATTCGTACATTTCCTTGAACAGAAAATCTGAGCCAAATATCTAACAGAGAGTAGACAGTATTTTCTTAGATAAAAATGATTTAATTGATTTGGGTATTGAATTTTCCAATCTGATCTCTACAATACTTGGCACAATTTAAAAGTATCAACATTACCTGTGATATAAATTGATCCAGAATATTGTACCATAATACACTGGGATTGATATAGCAATCCCCTGAAGTGCTTGGCTTTACACAAGTAAGCAATTTTTGTTTTACAATACAACTAGTCCTCTAGAAGTGGAGTTTCAATATTATCATGAACACACTTGAAAGTTCCAAAAAATGTCAATAGATTTTCACAAAAATATGATTGAAATCAGGCTATACAGATTAAATATAGGCTTGTGTGTGTGAAGAACCACCTATGTTAAGTTTTCATTATATTATCTTCTACAAAAAGTGTGGCTGCTTAGCTCACTTGTTTTAGATATAACCCTTTAGTCTTTTTTTAAGTGGTATCAGTCCAAGAAATATTTGGTAGGGAGCACTCACCATTTCTACCTCCAAGTCACACAGTTTTCCTAAAATAATAATTTGGAAAGGAAAGAAACACTGTGCATTTCAGAGAATTTTGAAAAGTTTTATCAGTCTTACTTTTCTAGCTTTTAAATGCAGCCAAGAGCACTGGATAAAAGCATCTTTGAAGACATAAATTATGAGTTACTAAGTGACTATCAATTCAGTTTTTGATGCAGATTTTATGACTTGGATAAGCTGTCGCACTATTGTGCACACGTTCATATTTCATCAAATGGACTTGATGGCCCAGAGAACCTTTTTAGCAGTTTAGGATGCTATACCAACTATGATTCTACCTGGACAGAGAGAGCCTAGCTATAGTTCTCCATGCTCAGGTAACCTCTTCATTGGATTAATGCAATGCACTGTACATAGGGCTGGCTTTGAAAATGGTTCCAAAACTTCAACTGATCCAAAACAGGGCAGCAAGACTGTTAATAACAACTGGTTCATGAGAAGATATTATCCCAATCCTCTTCCAACTCCACTAGCTGCCAGTTGAAGTCCAGGCTCGATTCAAAATATTAATAATGATGTTCAAACCCCTAAACAGCTTGGGGCGAGGCTATCTGAAGGAATGCCTCAACCCATATGTAACTGAATAGAGCCTAAGGTCATCTGTGGAGGTCATTCTCCAGGAGCCCCTTCCAAAGGGGCAAGTGGCTACTAAGAGGAAGGTCTTTTTGATTGTGGCACAGCAGCTGTGAAATGAGCAGCCCCAAAGAGGTGCACCTGGTACCTACTTTCTAATCTTCTCAGCACCAGATGAAGATCTTTTTATTTTCCCAGCATTTTAACAATTTCAACTTTTAAACTTCATTTTTCATATTACACTTTATCTTGTACCACTGCTATGCTTCTATGCTGATTCAATTACAATTGGTATGCTTTTGTCGTTTGGTTAATTTTTCGTTGCGTTTTTTTTTAACTTTTCTTAAGTGCCCAGAGAGCCTCCACTATTGGGCAGTACAAAAATGAAATAAAGGAGGTACTTTAAATTTTAAACTTATTGGAATCTTGCATATTGCTATCAAAGAGACTTGCAGGATCTACTGATTAAAGATTTCTACGTTTTTAAAAAATACTCAGAACTATGTAGAAGTCCTCAACATGATAGTCACAAAAGGGTACCTGACAAGGTAACTACAGGCACCCCCAGAAATACCTCCATTTTAATATTTGTAAATTGATACATATGAAATACATATAACTCTCTAGCAATTACACGTAAGTTTCAACAAAAGCAAACCAACTATACAAATAGGTATCCATTTGAAGCTGGCCTATAGGCTAACATTCATATGTCAATATATAAGGCAAGTCCTCTGTCAATTGCATTAGAGGAGATGACTGTTTATGCTTCTAATTCTGTAATGTCCATTTTTCAGCTGACAAAAGAATCTGTTTCACTTTCTATTAGTTAATTTCTATGAAGTAGGTAAATGTGAAAGTGTGTGTACATCATTTAATAAAGACTATTCAAATACAAAAATTACTGTGTAATAGTTTTCTCCCAAAAAGTAGCAAGTGCTGGACATTACCAAAACATGTATTTAAAAGTCTCACTAGTTGTACTGCAACATCAGCAATTAGCTAAACTGAATAATCCTTTACTAGAGAGAGACTGTTGCGTCCAACAGACATGAAGAAAAGAATTTGCTGAGCAGGATATGCACCAAGATCCACAGAGGTAAAAGGTAAATGCCAAACTGGTGATCCATTGTGGTGGTGCCCACAGCAGTTTCTCAAATTTCCAAATTTGCCCACATGTCCAAAAATGTTGACAACGCCTGGTGTAGAGGACACTGAGGAAATAGGATTTTTTAAATCTTCCAGAGTGCATATGAAAATGCCATTTTCATAGAAGATGGAGATCCACTGTAAATAAATGCAATGTCTCATATTCTGGAGTCCCTGCTTAGTGATTAGGGTTACAGATTTCCACTTTGCCGATTTTCCTCAGTCTGATCCCCAAAACATCCCATGTGTAGAACAACTTGAATCAGCTTCTTCACTTTATGCTTCTTCATTCCACCTTGACCCAAAGATGCTCCTTATCATGATACCTGTATCTCAAGAAGCAAAACAGGAAACATCACCAGAGTAAAGCATGAACCATTTCTCTTTGAGTCTTACATAAAACCCAAGCAACAGCATACATACTGAGTAACCGGCACATGTTCATGCTCACAATTATTATACTTTGGTATAATTAGAGCTTTGATGTGGAGACAATTTTGAACAGGTTTAAAGTCAGAATGGCAATACTTTACAGATAAAATACAGGGTAGTTCAAAGCTCATATACTAGAGGGAAGGGGTAGACAACCTGATGTCCACCAATTTTTTTTTTTTGGACTACAAATCTCATCAGCTTCAATTAGCACAAACAAAAGTCAGAGCTTCTGGGAGCTGTAGTCTAAATATCTGGGGAGATATATTGGTATAAGGTAAATTTCAGTACATACCCAAATTGTAATTCAAAAGTTACGAACGTTCATTGTAATTCAAAAGTTTTTGTAATTCAAGTTAGGTCTCCAGTATGCAAATTATCAACATACTGCAAAATGTGCTGCACTATTGTTTCATATTATAGTCCAGGTAGCGCATTATGTAAAGAATGGTTTATTAATGCAGGAACAAGCAGGAAGGAGCTATCATGAGGCTTAGGCTTGTGGACTCCCTCAGTTTCCTTTCTTCTCTTGCACAGCTAGGACAACCTGAGCAGCTTCCCCCTACTTGTTCTTTCTTGTCAGGGTTTCTACTTTCAGAGCCTATGAACAGAATAACTGCTTATTTTATCCCTGCTAAAGGATGTTCCCTGGACTCAGCTGAGGAAATCTCCTGCATATTAATGAAACAAGTCAAACTCTGATTGACCATTTTAGGAAAGTAACTTTAAGAGTGTAAAAAAAAAATTAAATGACCATTTGTATGCCAAAAATGTGTGGGAAAAATGGTGGTCTGTGGCTAATCAAAGATTGAGCTAATCAAAGACATGTTCTCACACTGCTCACAAAAATAGCAAAGCAGGTAATGCTGTAACATTTGGTTCATGTGGAATTAGAACTGCCCTACAGAGAGCTTTAAAAAGAGACCACTTAAGTATAGTGGTGTTCTGTAATGTCCTGTCTTTCTGGAACTGCATTCCTCAGTGGCAAAAAATGGGATTACTTACAGGTTGAAAAAAGTTTCTCTTCTCTTTCTGTGCCTCAGCCTTGCAGCAAATGTTCTACTACATATTTTTTCTAAGTTACTTGCTGGCATCTAGCTGCTGCAGTTTAGGATATTCCTTGTGTTGTTCTTGTTTGGAGCTTCTTTGCTGTGATACTGCAAAAGTCCGTGTTGTTCTTGTTTTTGTTTATTATGGAAGTATAATGACTGGCAAATACACATGGCTTACTTCACTATTATGTCTTTCTTTCACAGTATCACTACAAAGAACCTCCATTTCCACTTTTTTACACTGCAATAAATGAGCGTAAATGTAAAGCAGGCATGATTTGCCACTGCGATAAGCAAATCAGAGATCAGCATAGAAACACACTGTGAGTTGCTTATCACCTGAGAAAGTGTTTCATATCACAACAAGAACATATTCTGCCTTTAACCCCAAACTATCCAAGGACAAAACTACACCAACATTCTGTATTACAAAAATGCATTTTATTGCAATAAAATGAAGGAATCAGATGTAGAGCTGAATCAGTTTACATAAAACTGGCCCAAACTGATATTATTTAGGCTATACATTAGGCTAAAACCTTTTTATTTACCCATTATTTTAAAAGCTGATTAGGTTTTCAATTTCTATTACTGGATGCTATGGTTCATTTTTATCTTGTTCATTTTTATCCTGTTTTTATTGTAAGTCCGTCCCAAGACAGTGGTAGTCAGATGGTATACAAAAACCTTAAATGAAATAAATAATAAATAAATCTCCATTTAATATTAACAGACATTAAATTTTAAAAAGTCTCTGCTTGTCTTGTATTATTTGTACCATGTATAAATATGAGAATGCAAAGACAGAGATCAAGTGTGTCCCGTAGGTATTTCAGGGTTTATATTTGCATGAAGATATTATATATGTACAAAAGATGAAATTGGATTCCAAATTTGGGAATGACACCAAACCAGCCCAAAGGCTATTGGTTATTTAATTTTTTGAGCAGAAAATTAGTTGAAAAGAGGTGTAGAGAGGTAGGAGAAAGGAATAAACAGATGTAGAGTCATCTCACTGTCTTGGTTCACAGGACACAACAGTCTATCATGGTGTAATTTATTTGCAGGGGTGGTTGTATCATGCTAGGCATACATGGGCAGCCAGTTTGACATGTCATGTGAACCCAGGCAGCAGGAGTTGTCTGACACCTCTTAGATATTGTCTTGTTTCAGGGTTATTTGAGGCTTGTGCAACCTTCAAACAAACCCTGATGCATGACACAAACTGACAAGCCCCATAGGTAAATGATGCCAGAGTGACTCATTCTCTTCCACACTGAGAAAGTCTTCATGTGAATTATTCTATATTTTTCTACCTTTGTCTTAGCAACCTTGTTAGGTAGGTTAAGCTAAGATGTGAATGGACTCCCCAGTCCATTTCAATGCATTATGCTAGCTCTCCAGAATTCCTAATTATTGAACTGCTGCTTTTAGGAGTATGGATGACTGATAAGCACTACGTAAGGAAGGGTTGCAGCAGCTCAGCCCTGGAGGGCAAATTCTCAAATGGCCAGACTTCCTGACCCTATCGCTTCCCACAACCAGATGTGATACCAGGATAGGTCTTTAAAATTTCAGACACAGAGTTCAGGGTCCTTCTTTTTCCTTTGTAGATTTTGCAGTTCAAGAAATCAGTAATAGCCATTTTACAACAGCCTATGAATGGATTTTTGGACATATATGCACACAAACCAGGATTAGTGTGAAAGGGTTTCATGTGAACAAGCTGTGCGCTGGTGTTTGTAACTTATTAATGCCTACTTGAGAGCTACATGCAGTTTAACTAGTTAAACTAACCAGAAAGTGAAATCTGACTGTGAATGGCTTGCACAACACATTAAGCCATTGTGGTTTATAAGTCACAGTAGTTTATAAGCACTCTTCCCACAGGAAGTTCATAGGTGGATTTAATAAAGCCACCATGGCTTACCCACCATAGTGTTGTACAAACACAAACAGCATAAACCATGAGCAAGCCAAAATACCATAGGGCACCTTGGAAGGAGCAATAGAAAGATCCGCTGCTCTAACCAAGGAAATAACAGGTGACCACCATTCCCAGGCATCCTAAAGTGCCAAAGCAGTGTTTGGGATCATCTGGGAAAAGCTTCCCTTCCCTGCTGGCAAGGAGGCAATTCAAAACCTGGAGAAATCCCCACGCAGAGAAACAAGCACATCCCGTTAAATCACAACCCCCCGCCCCGGAACCAGTTTCCCTCAGGTTGATTCCTAGTGGATAGTACCACTTCCCATTACTAATCAACTGCAAAACTGAGGAGACTGTTAGGGATTCCTAGCCCCTCCCCCCCATAAATCCTGGGGTCCTGCTTTGAAAGGGGATTTATTTATTTCCCAACTTTTTCCTTCCAAGGAACTCAAGGTGACTTACATAATTCTCCTCCTCTCAATCTTATTCTGATAACAACTGGGTGACTGGCCTAAAGCCACCCACTTAGCTCTGTGACTGAGTGGGAACTACAACCCAGATCGCTTAAGTCCCTGTCCTACATTCTCAACCACTGCAACACACTGAGGGGTTAGCCCCAAAATATTCTTTTTTATGGATTCTTAGGGGGCTGTGGGGGAACCCTTATTGGGGCAAAAATCCCATCTTCAAGTATACACTGAGGTATCCAGTTTATACTGAACCAGCAGTGACTGATCAAGAAAGGGATTTTGGGGTGATGGTGGACAGCTCAATGAAAATTTTAGCCCAGTGCAGAGCTGCTGTGAAGAAGGCAAACTTCATGCTAGGCACAATTAGGAATGGAACAGAACTGCCAAAATCTGACACACACATTCCTTACACAAATCTTTGGTGTGTCTGCACTTGGAATATTGTGCTTTCTTCTGGTCATCTGACCTGAAAAAGGACATTATTGAGGTGGAAAAAGTGCAGAGAAAGTCAACAAAAATGATCAGCGGCCTGAAGCAGATCCCCTATGAGGAGTGGCTGCAACAACTAGGTCTGTTCAGCTTAGGAAAAAGGCAAGGGGAGACTTGATTGATGTATTTAAAATAGTGCATGGTTTGTATAAAATAGAGAGGGGGATAGTTTTCTCCCTACCCTTACACTCAACCCAAGATTATCCCATGAAGCTGATTGGTGGGAGGTTTAGAACAGACAAAAGGAAGTATTGGTTAACTGTCTGTTTCTGGACACAATCTAAAGTAAAATGACATATAAAGTTATCTTCTCCCATAAAAGTCTTTCTATATTTTAAGATGTTTGGGAGAGGTCCTTCTTTTTGTACTGTTGTATTCAGAGGCACATTTGCTATGAGTGAGAGCCTTATCAGTGACTGCTTTCAAGCTGTGGAACCTCATGCTGAAAACAGGCTAGGCTGTCTCTCTCTGCTGAGCTCCTACCAACAGGGAAATACATTTTTATTCATACAAGTATCTGCCATGTATATTGCTCTGTTGGATTTAATGCTGTTTTTATTTTGTCATCATTGTGGTTTCAGTTGTGCTTTTAATGTAGTTGTCTTTTATTGCTTTGAGTTTTAATTTATGTATGATTGCAAGCTGCCTTGAGTGCCATTTTCTTGGCAGAAATCAAAGAAACAAACACAGAGATTGTTCATTCGTGGTAATTACATGTGAATGTAAACATTTTTGAGCAAAGTATTGATGCTATATTGATTAATGTAGTTAATGCAACTGAGTACAGAAAAAAAATGGTATTACAAGTGACTTGTTGCAATATGTTGGCTAAAGTTCTTGACAGCTGGTTTATTCATAGAAAGACATCTGAGACAAGCTCCATAAATAGCATCACATGGAACCCTTACACAACTAGCATCCTTCTCACATAGAAACTCAGAACTGACACCTTATACTCTCCA